AATCAGTTAGTCATTCTAATAAATCTGTATTTGTATACTTGTTTTCCAAAAAAAAAAACGTCTATTTTTGAGAATAAATTGATTTGAAAATCAGATAGGAAAGGGACGTCAATCTCCCAAACATGCCAGGATGCCAAATTTTCACAATAGTAAATCATTTCAAAACATGGCTGACCTAAAACTAGTTATTTCACAACTCACTACTGACCTATTTTCGTTCTTTACTACTTTATAGGAAAAGAAAGGATAAGTATTATCGGTGAATTCATTATTGCTGCTTAGTATAATGATGATCCTAAAATATATAAATATATCGGCAGTTCTAATATGGCAAGGAGCACATGGATATCGGCATTAGCCAATGAGAGGCACGTAAAAATAGACTACAGCGATTTTTAATTTTTTTTTTGGTCTGCAATTTTTTGTTGACAGAGCCCCCCCCCAAACCAAAATCCTGGATACGCCTATGGATTACAATACACACAAATAGGCTTCAGCTTTGCCATTCCTCATGATTTTACATGAGATCTCATGTTTTCATTGTCCATCTCATGCTCTCATGCTTCCAAGTAAAAATCTCATGATTTTTCATCTTATGGTTTGATATTAATTAATGTTGGTTTTTTGCATTTTGTCGTGAATATTTCTGGTTATCAGTTTCAAAACTTAAAAGAGGTGATGCTAAATTTATGCAGTTTAAACCACACTCAACTATTACATGTGAGAGGATTTTTTCACAAAGTCCAAAAATCGTCTAAACCCAAAGTACAATAGGTATTTTAAGAACGAAACAATATATTGGGTCCAATAACTGTACCAAATTTTAACATTGATAACACATTTATAAATAAGAAGAAACCCACTATATACAGCACCAACAATGTAGTGGAAAAGTATAGACATTTACTTAAAAATCTTTAATTAAATAGAATATAGCTGTGATTGAAGAAAACACAAATGTTCCTTCTATCTTCTGTTCTAAGATAGGTTCCCTTTTTTTGTGATGTGATGTATTTTCGTCGATAGTTTGTTTTATTTTGATTTTTTTTTTGACCAAAGATGGTATGAAACAAGGTCACGAGTTTCAAACAACTGTTTTTATTTATTTTTGAATGGCCCCTCATGTTTTCAGCTATTTTAAAAATCTCATGTTTTCTCATGTTAAAATGACTCAAATTTCATGCTATAAAAATTTTAGGCCTGGCAACACTGATAGGCTTACATGGAACCAGTTGACAGATAACAATTTCACTGCAGAATCGCCACTCTGGATCATTGATCGTCGCTGCATATTATTTAATTTCGTAGATTTCCGGCAGCTCGGCTATATTCGGATATTTGACTTCGGCAGCACCATTGGAGTAGCTAGGATTTTGTCTTGAGGAGAGGGGGCAAATACCTATGTACGAAATTTTGGTCTCTTTACGGTATTTTTAGGTAGGGATGCCCATCTAATTGAAAACATCGATGTTTTGATATCGATAAAACATCGAAAGCTGATATCGATGTTAAGAAAAAATCGATAGAAAAACATCGATGTTTTCTTAACATCGATTTTTGGTTTGTAAATCAAATTAGGTATGGTTTTTGTTTCAAACCAGTGGTTGTTATTAATTTGAACTAAGTGATTAATTCTATTTTCGTTCTCTTTGTCTTTAATAGTCAACCAACAATAGGGGACCATACGTACAGCATTTCGCTGTATTGTACAGCATTTTCAAAGTCTGTCCAGTATTTGATTTTGTACAGCAAACGTACAGCGATTCGGATCCGATCATAATCAACTTTTTCTTTAAAAAAATTTACGAAAAATTGTCCGTCAAATAACTAACGACATTTCTACATTTGCGATTTACGTCACCATTATCATCTCCCAGAGTATTCTTTTCAATGCTAACTACCTTTTTTATCAATTTTATTTCTCTCTATTCCTCGCTGCTAAGAAGAAGACACAGACACAGAAACAGACCTATGTTTCTGCAGCAATCACAAACCAGTCAACACGAATTTCATTGGTTGAAAATAGTTAGATCAGAAAACTAGTTTCATTAAAATGACATTTTTCCATGGAGAAATGTCACTTTAAGGAACACTTATTGCTAAGGCTTTCTTAAAATAGTCGGTGCAAACGGCCATAAGTGGTACAAAAACGGGCTATAAAGTCGACAAAATTTGCATTTAGTGCTTTCTCCACTCAGCTGTCCCAAAATTTTAGATGTGTACAGCATTCATACAAAAAAAATATGGTCACCCTAACCAACAACAACATGCAAGGATATCGAAATATCAGGTTTGATTTATCTGCCATAATCTGAACTGAAATATTACAGCATAGTTCAAGTTAGTGCAACACAAACAAACAAACCTATCGAGAACAAAGTTTGATGTCAGTGTCAATCAATGCTGTCAATTGTCACTGTCACATCACATAATGGCTATGTTCCGATATCCTGTCAGTACTGAATTTACTTTACTTAAAATCAGCAAAGTAAATCCAGTACTGGCAGTTGATATCGGAACATAGCCAATATAATACCGTTTTCTATTTGCAGAACCCGAAGAACAGAAGAAGAAATTTTGTTTCTAAATTTTCAATTCACGAATGCACTAAATAAAATGGAAAAAGGAAATCAAATCACTATTCGTAAAAAACACAAAATATCGAATCAAAAACATCGATAATTGTCGATAGTATCGTAATAATACCATCGATGTAAAAATATCGATGAATCGAATACTTTATATCGATGTTTGAAAAACATTGATATTTTTTGGGCAACCCTATTTTTAGGACTCCTAATGGTGGGGGCAAGCGGGGATGCGACCATTTTCGCAAATTTTGATAGGAAATTTATAGTAGAACGTTACTTTTATTATAAAATCATATTATATCAAGGCAAAAACCTATATTTAAAAAAAAATCGAGAAAACGAGAGAAAAAAATAAACTGAATCCATTAAGGAGATATTTGGGATCCCCTTTAGACCATCATGACAAAAAAATACAAAACAGCCTTTATTTTTATTTTTTAAATTTCAAAGCATCCTAGCTGGAAAACAGAGAGCCTGGGAGGAAAACATTAAATACAAAACCTGTAGATCTCATTGAGAGCTACAAAAAAGCTTATTAGAGTTACCCTTCCACGGGGCACCATTTTTAAGACAATGGACTTCAAAACTTTCAATACATTTTCAGAGAAATTTCAACTTTGACGGCTTATATCTCGGAGACAGAAACAGCCTGGAATATCAATTAGAAAAAAATTGTAGGTAATTTATTGTTCTTTCGAAGGAAATCTGATTCGAGACAATCGGTTCGAAATTACCGAAGTCATAGGCGAAAAAGTGGCGCCGTGTCGGGTCCCAAAAATATTACAGGATTAAATTTTTTTATTCTTTTCCGGGCTTACGAAGCGTCGGAGCGAAAAACACCATGAAATATTTTCGACGTATTTTTGGCTCCTCTATCCGGTGGTATTTTTTATTTCTCAAAATTCGGAAAAGTAAATGCAGGGCGAGTACGCCCTTTTCAAAAATTGGGCGGATAGGGGCTAAAACCCCTCCGGTAGGTCGGAGAGGGCTGAAACTTGGAATATCAACTTTTCTGGACCCCTTTCACCTATATTCTGAATTTCATCCGAATCAACAAAAAAAATAAAAAATATTCAGGGGCCCCCCGTATTTTTTTTTTTACTGTCCCAGTTACTTTTGGTGACGATGATACATCATGGTATAATCATGTGATGTAAACAGGCCTATCATGAAAGCAAACGGAAAGGAAATAATAATCCAACGACTTATTGAAAATACAGGTTTAATACTACACAACAAAATATTCAAACTGTCATGCATGTCTCTCATGTGATATGATTTGACAGTCATATCCTACAAAGGTTTTTTTTTTCCATATCAAATTAATGAATTTTTCGATATCCATTTCTCTATCTTCTCAATAACCCAGTTAACACACACAAATCGAGAACTTCTGCGAAAAATCCCATTTTTTCCGCAATCGCAATTTTTCGTCCGAGTTCGCACGAATAATATCGGGTACAATGGGTACAATGTACGACCGTCATTGGAATTTGGAAATTAATAGTTAAGAACTCAATATTTTTCTACCTACCCACTACCACAGCCCACTACATCTAACACCTAAATCACTATGGGGGCTCAAGCCTCTATTGCTCCCATGGTTCCGGCGCCTATGATTGATGCAGGTTTCCCTTACGATGAACTGGGTTTTCCGAAAACCTTATTTCGCGTCCGAAGGATCATTGGCTCTCTCGTTTCTTTCTCCCTGCTCGTAAGCAGCTCGCACCAGCAATACTAGGGGGTCTCGTCCACTGACCGCCTAAAGCGATCCCGATAGTGAGGAGACCCACGCAAAGTATTGTCAGCTTAATACGCGATCCAAGTGCAGGGTAATAACAATAAGTCACCACACTTCATTCGAGAAAAATGAGGGGAGAGCTCTTCGTTTTCTCAAGCGCAGAGAACAGGGACAGTGAGATGATGCCTCGATCACTAAGAGAACTAACATCCTTTTTTTTATACTGGCTGACTTGGTACCTATAAAGGTTCCAATCCTTAGGTAGTCTGGTGTTTTGAAAGCTTTTCTTGTCGTCGCCTTGAAGTGTTCCAGTTCCTGACACCACCAAGCAGAGGTGTTACCAGAGTTTTGGAACATCCTCAGTGGGCTCGACATCTTATAGGATTTTATGATGGCATCTTGGATGGTATTGGCATACCGCTCCAATTCTTGGTCATCATTGGGTGTTTTAACTGCAACCTCTTGCAGAGCCCTTTCTAGACCTTGTACGTACTGTGCGATATTGATTTTCCATGAGTCACGATAGGCGAGCAGTTCAATGTGAAACTTATCCATCGGTGACCCGACATTCGATCTTTAATCTAATTAATTTAATATGTAACTTTCTTTGATTAAAAAACAAAATGAGAGAGAATTCAAAATCAATCAATTCGTAAATTATTACTCACCATATCGTCTATCGAAGTGTACCGATTCAAATATCCGACAAACGAAAAAGCCGATCCAACATAAGTCAATATAAGCGCTACTCCAGCGGTAAAAAAACACCATCCATATCGGTAATCGTAGTCGGGTCCATTGGGTCCGTCTTTATGGTACTCGTAAATCTCGGCCAAAGTTTCCGAGAGGGCGGATACGAAGGTGATCAGACCGCAGCCCAGAGACAATCCTGAAACAATTTAGAAAGTATTTAAAATCCCGAAGTAATTAGGCTAAAAGTCCCCCGGAATGTAAAAATTTTCCTTTTTCACAGTTTCCAACCAAAAACCCATTAAAGTGGAAAGCGTTGTGTAAGCTAAAACAAATACCTCCGAAGTTTCTTTTCTTTATTTTGCTCACGTACTATTATGGCGAAATAAATGGTTCTATGCCGGTAAAAACGTAAAATGGGAATGGGCTTTCAGGTACTTATAGTCGCTTAAGCTATTGTATAGCTTTTTGTTTCAGCTTCACTGATTAAAACGACTTTCAGCATTAAATCAAAGTATTGAGCGTATGTATTGTGTCAACTTTTCAACGTGATGATTAACATCACAAAATAGTTTCCTAATAATTAGTGTCAAACTGTCGAGGAATTTTCCTTTCGTAACTCGAATAACCCCCTTGTAAATAATTAATCAAAAGTTGTTTAGAGGTATTTACACACAAAAGGTAGGAGAAGCTAAGCTTAAGCGTCGTTACTCGTAAATAGCTTTATTCTTCGGGAAAAGTTTTCTTTATCTGATGGGTGTTGTGTTGTTACTTTTCCTTTTAAAGTGGCTTATCAACTTTTCGTTCCTATACAGCTCGAGGGCGTAGTTCGTTTAATTTCCGAAACAAGTGCACAACATTGAAGGGGTTAAAATAATGGATATAGTTTTCTTCGAAGATCTCTTTATTTGTACGGTATTTTTATTTTTGTTAGCTATAGTAGTAGTATAACTATAGCAGCCTAAGTACTCGTCCATTATGTAGCTCGTGAAAGCAATTTGCCATATTGTATTTATTCAAATCATCTCTCCCCTTCAACGTATATAGGTTCGAGGACGGGAGAACAAAGTGCCCTGGCAACTTTGCACACAACAAATTCCTGCTGTTTAATTTTGGCCGCAAGTCTTTGTCTTGGAGCTATGCCGAAATGAACGACCCCCCGTGGAGGAATTGTGAGAAGTATTAATGTTGGGAGCGAGAGAGAGGAGTTCTAATGGTTTTCTAATTATTAATATTTGGATAATATCTCGCTACTTGGTTTAATATTATAGTAGGGTTATTGATTTGGGTGTGTGTTAAATTGACCTATGATTCAATTGAAGAGATTATCGCGTTTATTCTGGATTTTACAAGAATGGATTACAGATATATAAAGGCCGTTATTAGTTAGTAGTTTTTTGTTCTAAGATTGACTGTGAATATTGTAAAGTTGTATAGAGTTAAGTTGTTTGAGTTAATTAGTGAAGTAATTAGTGTCAGAGTGTATAGTAACGTGGAATTAATTGGACTTTGATTTTGGAATAAATGGATGCAAGATTTCTGTCACGCACTCCAGAGTCGTGCCAATACTATACCTAGTCCTATGTCAATTTACTTCCTTAATTTAAATTTTCTCTGCATTATGAGGCTTTGCTTGATGTTTGAGAACTTTAGTGACTTTTACTGCAGTTCTAAAAATTGCTTCTTGAATTTTCTGAGCTGAGTTCTAAATTCATTATCGTCCTTCACTCCAGTGGACTTTTCGTCAGACTTAACGGCATCAGCACCTTTTTCCAAGGCCAGATCTTTTCGGAATCTCAGCTTTGCTAAAAGACAAATGAGCTTTAGTTTTTTTGAGTATCATTTGTCTTGTCAACTACTTTGTTTAAAATTTCTTCAAATTCTACTTAACCAAGTGACAAAATTTCTTCTTTTGAAAATACTGAAGCTTTAAAGTTGATTCCTGTAATTAATCATGAAGCTTCTTTCACTGAAACCAAATACATTTGAGAATCCCCAAATTCAACTTTCGATCGTCTCACAGTGTAAAGACCAGGCAAAAGACAGACCCAAAATTGCTACTAGGGTCATGTAGCTTCCGAGGCTTTTTGTCACCTCGCCTCCGCTTCCTGTTTTGTCGAAAAGGGGTGTGGGCGATAATTCCTTTTACCCCCAAGTTCGAAACTGTAAATTTGTCCTCGGGTTTTTGCACTAATTGCGGTTTAATACGCTGTGTCTCAAGGCTTTTTGTCGACGATAGCAAGGGTGAAGTTGTCTTGGAACTTTATTCTATTAGCAACAAAATTGTTGCTTTTCCATTCTTTAAAGTAACGATATTTCTGGTGTCCGAAAATTCTACAGGCAATTATTTACGCCCCCCAGTAAAACCCTTAAAAAAGACAAATATAGATGTCGTTTTGGGCCCGTACGAGTGATAAAAGTGAAACGCTCCCCGGTTCTATTAAGGTTTTTCTTTTACAATCTCCCAACGTAAAAAACGGGCGAAACATTTTATTTGCGGCGAAACTCGTGTAGAGGACAATTGTAGAGAAAAACGCGACGTTCTTTTGTTTTAGTTGACGACGGTTTCAAGTTTAATCAGTTTTTATAGGGCTTAAAGCACCGGAGGGGAATATTTCGTATTTACTTTGAAGGATTTTCCTAGCTCAGGTGTTTGGAGGAAATACAACGTTTTTTTTTATGTCAATTTCAAAAAAGGTTTTCATTTGAAATTGATATCGATAATCTTTGGTATCAAATTTTCAATTTTTAATTAAGCCCCTTTAGGGCCAAATTATGGACTGACTAGTAAACGTCTGGTTGTTACCTAGCAGGTAATTTGTATGCACTAGAGAATAGAAAGTACCTGCTAGGTAACAACCAGACACTTAACCAGTTGGTCCATAATTTGGCCTTCAAGCAAATAAGTCCAATATTATCTCTCATGAAAATCTCTTGACAGGTGATCAATACTTCATGTATTACCATTGTGTCCTTTGTTTTTCAAAACCGTTAGAATTTCAGGTGACTTATAGCCCTTACAAGTTGAAAATTTGGAAGAGTTTGTTTCGGTCGGTAGAGTTTCAAAATTTATATAGGAAATATGTAGACATTTTCCATTATCCAGACATATCCCTGACCTTTACAAACCAGATAAAAACAAAAGATGAGATTCCAGCAGTGTTTACCCCCCCCCCCCTCCAGAAAACTAGAAATTTTTAAACTTACTCAAATTTTTAGTTTTTATACTGAAAATATAGAAAATATATTGCGAAAACAATTAAAATACTACTTACGGCAGTAAGTTTTTGTGCGATATGGCAGCAGCGCTTTTTCACTTTTATCTTTTTAGCAGCTCACTTACGGATTAAGCATAACTCTAAGGTAAACAAAGTAACTGAACAAGCTCACCCTAAAGTTAAAATTAACCCGTAGGAGACTCGCTATTGAGAAACCGGCGTGTCCAGTTACAATGGAGTTATGCTTCACCCGGTGGTGACTTGCTATTGGGAAACTGGCCCTTAGGGCCGAATTTATAGTTGCTTTTTTAAGTATCCTCAGACTTCAAGGAGGCCTTAAACGTTTAGAATTGACATGAATAACTTGTCACATAGTAGCAAGTGTCCATTCTAAACTCACGACCTTTGAAAGTTCCTGAAAAATAATTTTAGCCATACTAGCAACTTGAATCTTGAATTTGCAGATCTCATTGAGAACTTCAAAAAAGCTTATTAGAGTTACCCCTCCACGGGGCACCGTTTTTGAGAAAATCGACTTCAAATCTTTCAATACATTTTCAGAGAAGTTTCAACTTTGACGGCTTATATCTCGGAGACAGAAGCAACCTGGAATATCAATATGGACAAATTTGTAGGTAATTTAATGCTCTTTCAAAAGAAACCGGATTCGAGATAATCGCTCGAAATCACCTAAGTTATAAGCGAAAAAGTGGCGCCGCGCCGTGTCAAGTCCCCAAAATTTTCCTAAAGAAAAATATTTTTTATTTTTTTGTGGACTTAGGAAGCGTCGGGGCAAAAAACGCCTAGAGACATTTTCGACGTATTTTTTGCTTCTTTATCCGATGAAAATTTAAATTTTTTAAAATTCGGAAAATTAAATGCAGGACGCATATACCCCATTACACGCCCTTTTTCAAAATTGGGGGATAGGGGCTAAAACCTTTCCGGTAAGTCGTAGAAGGCCGAAACTTGAATTTTCAACTTTTTCAGACCCCTTTTACCTACATTCAAAATTTCGTCCGAATCGGTCCCAAAAAAAATTTCAGGGGCCCTCCACGGGGCATTACTTTCTAGATAGGGGCCTCTCGTATTTTTTTTTTTTTCGATAGAGTTTCTATTCCACTATATACGTACCAAATTTTAGCTCGATCGGACCAGCGGTTCGGCCTCAGAAATTTTTTGAAAACTAATTTCCCCATCGATAGGGGGGCTATAACAGACATCTTGGACAAACTTGGTGAATGCTAGTACTTCACGACCTTGGATCAGGCAAGTGGTTTTTACCAAATCGAAAAAGCTAACGAAGATATATGCAAAACTGCTCTCAATTTCGAAAATGGCCATTACGAGTATGTCCGGATGCCCTTTGGCCTAAAAGACGCTCCAGCTACTTTTCAGAGGGCAATGAATAACGTTTTGAAAGGCCTCCAAGGAGAAAATGCTGAGAAATTTCAATTAGGGAAGTGAATTCCACTAAAACTGATCAATCATAACTGTTTGCCATCATCTAGAATAATTTGAAACATATGCAAGGAACAATATCAACCTCAAAAATTTGAAAAACTCAAAGCCGCAGTTTCTTTGTAGAAATAAATGAACCTGTTCCGGAAGAAATTCGTGTTGCAGTCAAGAAACAAGACATTGAATAGCTGATCTGCAAACTGTAGATCTACAAAGCTTAGGTACTGACAATGAAATTACTCCGACTTTGATTAATCAATTAAGATTCTTCAAGCAAATTAGTCCAATGTAAATCATTTCTCATGACAATCTCTTGACCGGTGATAAATACTTCATGTATTATCATTGTGTCCTTTTTTTTCAAAATCTGTAGTTTCAGGTTACTTATGGCCCTTACAAGTTGAAAATGTGGAAGAATTTGCTTCGGTTGGTAGAGTTTCAACATTTATATAGGAAGTATACAGACATTTTCCACTATCCAGACATATCCCTGACCTTTACACACCAGATCAAACGTCAT